CGTGTGCAAGCTGTGCAAAGCCAAGCTGTGCTGGGTGAGCTGAGGGGCAGCAGGGGAGGGCCTGGCTCTGCCCTTGGCCGCTGCTGGGGCGTCTGCTGTGCGGCTGTGTGGCTGCGGGCCAGCCGGGGTTGAAGATTCCAGCCCACTGGCCCCGAGGACACGCTCTCGTGGAACAAAGCCCATCTCCTCTAACACAGCTTTTTCCCAGGAATTGGCCCATATGGAATAAAATAAATAAGTCGCAAGCGTTTTGTGAAGGGGAAGAAAAAAGTTCCTGCTGTACATAACTCCGGGGAGCAGATGTTTTTCCATTAGCTCACTGTTCTCTGCTACACTGGCTCTCTTTACATTTCTTGTTCATGGCATGCTCATTATAATATTTTTTCACAGGGTAAACTTCAGCACGTTACTGAGACAGCAGGTAGCCCACTCCAGCCCCACTGTGAGTACATGGCATAGTTATTCTAGTCATTTTTCTTTGAATTCTCCTTTAAATTAGCCTTAGGTCTACCTGGTGAGGTTTGCAGACTGTGCTTAGCAGGCATTTAGCCAATCTTAGATCAAATTACCAGACCTACTTTGCTGTGAGTGGCCATATTTGGTAAAGTATTGGGTTAGTCAAGAAGCTAAATTGTCAGATACAAAGTCCTAGTAAAGACAAACAAAGTGGACATTGTAGTTAAAAGTAAAGCTTAAAATAATATAGCAACAGGAGCTGGAATATTAGAACTCCTATTAAAACTGGCTTGCAGCATTCTAAAATGCTCCATATTAATAGAGTACACGGTTTTTACTGCCTGGAAATATAATCACACATACTTCAGGTACGAAACCACTCCAGTTACCCGAAAGAGCTTAAAACTATTAAAACTATTTATTTTCACTACTGACATGCTTTGCTCTCCGGGTCAAAAGTTATCTCACAAAAGTGTTGAATGAAGGTAAATTTTAGTCAGAAATTTGAACCATTTAAAGTACATCTTCCTTAGCCAAACAGCATGACTGTATTTTCTAAACAGAAAGGAGGAGCACTGGCATGATTTTAAAAAGGAAATAAGGGGCAGAAATAGTTCCTAGGTCAGACATTTCCCTTGGTAACACAAGCAGTATTATCACCAGTACTCTCTAGGATTCCCCTTGCAGCTCTTCCTGCAACAAGAGGTAGGAGTTAACAAGTTTTACCAATGCCACGGAAATTCCTTCTCTCCTCTCAAAGTTGGATTCAAGATCTCAGTCATGAACAGTAGAACAAAGAGGAGAAACAAGCATGTGGATCCCATAAAGATCACCTCTCCTGGAGCTGTACCACTGCAGCACATGCACTGCAGCACCCTTCCTGAGTACTCCCTGAAATGAGCTGTTTCTCAGACTTGGGGCCAACAATAATGTTTATGTTTATTAATGTTAAAGCCTAATGAGCTGACTTGCTCCTTTTAAGAAGCCATTACATTTCAAAAGGAGTGTGTGTGTGTGTTAACAGTCTTTGCTGCAGAATCCTTGAGAACAGAGGATGCCTATTAGTATTCCAATCATGCCTGCTGCAGGGAGTGGACAACCTCCCTTGTCTTTGGGGACAGCAGACCTCGTACTCTTCGAAAGCTAATTGTGACTACCTGCAGAGAAAACAGGAAGATATGGAAGCCCACTGAAGCAATGTGCTAAGTTCCCTGCTGCAGATGACTGTACTCCCAGCTGGTCCTACAAAAGACGGCTGGACATAAGATTAACAGTGAGGATTCACAGTTTTATTTGGATGTGTGAAAGAGAAGACAAGGACTCTTTTCTACAGACTACAGATCCAACAAGTAGCTCTTTGGTCGCTTACAGGAAGCTACAAAAATTAGCTTGCCAAAGGTCACTAAGCATTGCTGCAGGGAAAGACAAGGTGCAGCATCCATTACAGCGCAGCACATTTGGACTTAGCAGCTGCACTTCCAAAGCTGCTGCTTTATTACCTTCCCTACATAACCACGCTGGTCATAAACTCCAAAAAGTTACCGATAAAACCACTAAGTCTATGCCCTCTTAATGGTGAGGTAAGTATCTTTATCACAGCACAAAAGAGATTAACTATTTGCACAGGGTTCACAGCCTTGCCTTCAGCCACTGTTCAAGGAATGCCTATATTCTTATGTGCTAATTGGGAAACCGACCCTTAGGAGCACCACAAGGGCTCTCCAGCTCTGAGGCACTGAGGATGCTTCTGCACAAGGCAGGGACTCCTATTGCAGCTGCAGCTGGAGGGTGAGACAGTAAGGATTTCCCTACTAAGCACCATCTGATAGCTACCACCCACCAACGGTCCCTTTGGCAAGTGTATGTGCTGGCTTTGTGGCCTGGCCTGGCTGCTGGAGGGCTGTAAGAACAGCCTCACATAGCTGTGGGATAGCTGGCTTTGTATACCTCTTTCCAGTCTAAGTGCAGAAAGCTCTAACTGGATCAGTCTGTCGGTACCATTAGTTTTCATGCCTTGGGATATGAAGAGGCACAGGAACTGTAATGGCCCTAATGGAACCCAGACACGATTGCAGGCTGGTGCTCTAAATCCATACCCACAGACAGAGACATGGCCAGCTGCATCCTGTTAGTGTCTATAAAGGGACGGATGCTTTGTTATAAATTTACTGGAGTATGAGGTTAGGAAATTTTAATAATTCTCTCTAAAGATTTATGATTAATGCTAAAAAGGTTAAAGTGCTAATGACAACGAAAACAACAATACACGAGTCATTTCCCAAAGGCAGATTTACATTTTTTCCCTTTAGAGATAGGACACCGAGGTATGAAAAAGGCAGGCAACTCGCCTAGAGTCGCAGGATGAGTCATTGACTGAAAAAGGACAAGTCCAAGCTAAACCTGATAGAAATCTACAGCATACTGGTACAGCTCTTATTCATGAATACGAAGGGACTCTGGATGCAGGCATCAGAATGTTATGCTAATCGCCTGTTGCTTTCCACAGCTCTTCATTTTGGGGTGAGCTGTAACTCAAAAGCATGTGACTACCTCAACTGTTTTTAACCCCGCATTTCTGTTTCATTTGTTGTTTATGAAATATCTCTATTTTGGAAGTTATTAACTTCTTCTGTGTATTCCTGTTCCTCCTTTCCCCTCCTTCCAGATGGGAAAGATCCTAGTACAGAGGGTCAGTGATGCCATTTTGGACTATTCCACTCACTAAGCCCAGTGTAAGATCCAACCCACTTCAAAGAAGTCCTCTAATTATTTAGGTGCTGTGCCCTTCTCCACAGAGAGTAAAGACTACCCCAAAATACCTGCAGCTCTTCCTTATTCCTCAGGATACCAGAATACAGTGACTTCCACGCTACTGCGAGAAGAGAATGGGCAGTACCTCAGCAGGAGCTCATTAAGCTGCATCCATAACAATAACTGACCTCAGTAACAAAATTACAAAGCAGTCACAGCATGTATTTTCAGACTATCAGTCCTGACTCAAGTCCGGTTAAAAGCAGGCATGAAACAAAACAACGATTAAAAAAAATTATAGAATAGGTCAGAAAAGTTGCAGCTTATAAAAATAAATTCTATCTAAAAGATTTAATTAACACCTTTGAGAAAGGCACTTGATTTACACTGAAAAGTAATCATAGCAATTCGCAGTAGGTCACAGTAAGCACTAGGTCTTTATTGCTTTTGTCTTTTCACATAGCAGCAAAAATGTAAACTGCCTAGAGCTATCTGCAGGATGATGGACAATAGACACCTGACTTCTCATCACAATAAACTCGTTTTTTCGCTCCCCAGCAGCCCCCTCTGCAGCCTTAAATCAGGAGTATGAACTGAATAAAGCAAAATCTTGCTAGTGATTTTGAAGCCCTCAGCACATCATTGAAATTTACCTACACACAAGCCATTAAGTGAACACACGAGATTAACTTAAAGGATGACGCATTCCATAAGGTAACTTCTTTGTTCTTCAATAGTTAGTCAAATTGTAACAAAAAGAATGTCACATATTTTGTAACAGAACTGCAGTCTAATTGATAGGAAACGGCCCACAAAACCAGCTATAAAAATCTTTCCTGAGAAGTAGGGTGAGACTGTCAGGTTTCATGTGAGAATTGCCAATCGCACAATCAGCTAAATGAGAATTTGAAAGGTTCTCCTGCACACAGAATAGCAAATTATCAGCAAAGTTCGAGTGGGCTCTGCTTTTTTATTGTTGTTGCAAATGGTAGCAGAAACATCTAAGTAATCACAGCACTCAAATGTAATTTCAGGCACTCAACTGTGGGCCCAGTTGTGGAAGAAAAGCTGCGTCTCTTCAGAGCAAAACTGTAGGGTCAGAACTCTTTCTATCAGCCCTGAAATGCTGGAATGCAAATGGCAGAACATGCTGGGCAACTCTGTTCCTCACCAGGTGTCCTATATAAAACCCCTTCACGATTTTGGAGATCGCCTCCGGGTTCCTTCTCCCTGTTCTTTCCCCTTTATGTGCTTTGCTGTAGCACCTCTTGCATGAGTATCACAAACTGACATGCAATCCCCAAGTCCTTGGGAGATTCAAAGTCAAGGATAAAATGAGCGGAGGACTTGCTGGTTTTAATAATTTTCACTTAAACCTCAGCAAAAATTGGAAAGTCCCCAGTCTAAATAACATTTAATACATGGTTTGCCCAGTCTTATTACAGGGAAGCACATAGGAAAGGGAGAATGAAAATAATTGTCCCTACCAACTACCATTTCTTAATGAAGAACTACCTATCTGCTTCTTTTAAAAGCATATTTTAGTGATGACTGAAGTTTTCTGTGTTTTATAGAAAAATAGAGGTGAGCTGAAAAATTGCGCTACTCCAGTATTTTTTAGTTTTTATTACACTGAATCAAATAGTATTTCAAAAACCATCTGGGATAGACAGGCAGATTTTCTGCCGGAATAAAGTGATTTTCAACTACTGATTTCAACTACTCCATTAATACTTATGTCATCTCATTCACCACTGGAGGGGAAGGACAACTCCAAGTGGTCCAGGACTTACCAGCTTGTAGCCAAATTTGTTCAAGGGCTGTCCACAGCTGCATAGGTCCTTGCTTCATTGCGCTGCTCTGCATAGTTATTTCAGACATGGCCTGTTCCAGTCTTGATGCAGCAAGGGAAGAGGCTCGCTGTGACCCTATGGACCAAACAAACAAGAACAATAAATAATGCATTTTATACTTCTTTGGGATATTTCTTTGATTCACTAAGGCAGCAGGTCTGATTCTCCACTCACTGCAATAATAAGAACTCTACTGAATTCTGGCATGATCAACTGGAGAACCATGTTTTATAAAAGGTTAATTTACTGAAAAAAACTCACTAAATTACCCAAGGGCTGCAGCTCAAACAAGTGAATTAAGAGACAGACAGTAATTTTATAAAGGTCTGCATAACATTCATCAAGGAAGCAAGCGTATTTTGCTCTTTTGGAAAGCAGAACTCTACCATCAACTATTTCCCACAAATACTTATTACTAACCTGTTTTATAAGCACACTATCACCATACAATTACAAAATATGGCCCACTAATATAAAATCTTAGTACAGCATTACAGAGTAGCTTGGCACCATTCACACAGCACACACATTTCAAGTGACATCAATATTGTTCTACTGGTTTAGAGGCAACGTGGTTTTTCATTTAACCTCGGGGAGCGGAGAGCTCAGCGCTTTGACTATATTAACCTTTAGTACGTGCTGTAACATTTACGCAAGAATAAAGTTGACACCCACGTCTCTGGGACAAAACACCACATCAAAAGCTATGCCCAAGAAAAATGCATGGGCAGAGACCATGTTCTCCAGTACAGCAAGTGGGATTATACCGGTGAGCCGACCCCTGAGAGGGGTACTAAGAGGACGGTAACAAAATAAGAAGCTACAAAATGAGATTTCAAAGTTGGCTTTGTAAAGCTTTGCTACACCACTTAGACACACACAAGTCTATGGGGCCAGATGGGATTCACCCAAGGATACTGAGGGAGCGGGCAGGGGTGCTCACCAAGCCACTTTCAATCATTTACCAGCAGTCCTGGCTAACTGGGGCAGTCCCTGTTGACTGCAAGTTAAAAAATGTGATGCCCATCTACAAGAAGGGACAAAACGAGGATCCAGGGAACTACAGGCCTGTCAGTCTGACATTGGTACCAGGGAAGGTTATGGAGCAGATCATCTTGAGTGCCATCATGTGGCATGTACAACGACAACCAGGTGATCAGGCCCAGTCAGCATGGGTTTATGTAAGACAGATCCCACTTGACTAACCTTACCTCCTATGACAAGGTGACCCACTTAGTGGATGAAGGAAAGGCTGTAGAAGTCATCTACCTAGACTTTAGTAAAGCCTTTGACACCATTTCCCACAGCATTCTCTTGGAGAAACTGGGTGTTCATGGCTTGGGCGGGCGTACTCTTCACTGGGTAAAAAACTGGCTGGATGGCCAAGCCCAAAGAATGGTGGTGAATGGAGTTAAATCCAGCTGGAGGTTGGTCACAAGTGGTGTTCCCCAGGGCTCAGTACAGGGCAAGGTCTGTTTAATAGCTTTATCAATGATCTGGACCAGGGAATCGAGTGCAGCCTCAGTAAGTTTGCAGACAATGCCAAGCTGAGTGGGAGTGTTGAGCTTGAGGGTAGAAAGGCTCTGCAGAGGGATCTGGACAGCCTAGATTGATGGGCTGGGGCCAAGTGTATGAAGTTCTACAAGGCCAAGCGCCAGGTCCTCCACTTGGGTCACAACAACCCCGTGCAGCGCTACAGGCTTGGGGAAGAGTGGCTCTGGGTGTTGTTGTTCAACAACCAGATGAATATGAGCCAGCAGTGTGCCCAGGTGGCCAAGGCAGCCAAGAGCATCTGGGCCTGTATCAGAAATGGTGTGGCCAGCAGGAGCAGGGAGGTGATCGTGCCCCTGTACTCGGTACTGGTGAGGTCACACTTTGAATACCGTGTGCAGTTTTGGGCCCCTCACTGTAAAAAGGGCATTGAGGTGCTGGAGCGTGTCCAGA